GTTTCTAGATCCATTTCCAAGTATCTGCATGTAAACACGACCAATTTTCCAAGAAGTGAGGTTATAACTGTTTCATCTGTGTACCCTAGGCGAGCATTAGTTTCGTTTGGTATTTCCGATTGTTTACATTTTCTTGATATTTCTTTTAAAACCAGGAAAATATTTATATAAAAGAATTATAGTTCCAAGCCTTATGAAAATTTATAGTTTAGAAATTTACTGTAGGGATAAATATGAATTTTAGAATCGCTATTTTAAATAATGCATCAAGCATAAATATTTGATATCGCCGAGATGAGAATATTTGATGTGGATGAGTGCTATTGAGCGACACTAATTTTCATGAACACAACCTTTAAGCCTCGCACTGCACCAAAGAGTCTATCTGTTACCGTAAAAGCCCGAATGTTGGTAAATCCTATGTTTCACTAACATTCGGGCTTTTACGGTAACATATCGATACTACGCGACGTACAATTAAATGTACGCTATAAATTAATGTAAATGTCATGCATTTGCCTATCTGCAGTGGGTCGTAAGCTTATCGTCACAGATATGTAAACATTTATATGTGTTAAACTGTGACGTTTGCATTGTAATTGTTTCTCGAACTGTTTGTAGTTTTTATTTAAAGGTGCTACAAAGCAGCTCAGATTATACATAACATTGAATGATATATAGTTAATAAATAATTAATTAAAAGAATATGGAAGGGAGAGATCGTAGTGTAATTTACGACAATGACCCGGCATTGGACTGAGGAAAACAATGCGAAATCTCAGGATAGCTGGTTTTTGGGCTGAGACTTAAATTCGGGTCCTCCGGAATAGGAAGCAGGTGTACCAACCACTCCGTCGCTGCGTTTCATCCGTGGTGTTTGTTGAATAAATATAATTTTATAATTATTTATTTTATGACGACAGTTATATCCTGCCAGGTTACGAGCTATCTCGAGGGGTTTCCTTCGCTGTTATCACCTTCCGCCGGCGAGTCACCTGACAGATTTAAATAGGCCACTACTGAGACTCGTAAATGAATCACGTTTTAGTGTGGTTCGTAATAATGAATATCATTGCAGTGTATTATAATGAAGCCTCATTATAAGAAATATATTTATGTCAAAAATTGGAGGCTCTCATCAGTGCCTTATAATGGAGAATCGTAATAATGACTCACATGCAATGTGTTATACGACGCAGAGCCCAGAAGACAGATATCTTCATATTTGCAGCTGAGAGAAGCTGAAATCTCACTTCGTTTCAATTTCAGTTCCACAAGAGATGCAATTTTTCACTCAGTTTATTGGTTATGGGATGCTGACAAATGTTTCGATGCGTTGTTTACGCACGTTTCGCTGTAGTCACTAATTCATGCCCTGTTCTTTCTCTGTCTTCCCGATGAGCAGGCACACTCCTTCCTCTCCCCCCCCCCCCCCCCCCCCCATCCCATGCTTCGTGCTTTTAGTTGGTAAATGGCACACTCTGCATTACCGCTCCTCTGCCAAACGTACACTCACTGAAAACTGTGCTTGGATGAGTCTTGCAAAGTTTGCATTGCTACTGCGTTTGTGGGAGGTCACGTGATCGATATTCGGCCCCCGGACGCTGACTGTCAGCAGAGATGGTGACTTAAAACGGGCCATGAAAGCGTCTTTATACATTTTTCTCAGCCATCGTACTTCAGTTCGACGCTGGATGTTACAGGTATAGGACTATATACAGTTTAGAAAGTTTCGTTAAATAACCTAAACCCGTAAGATTTGAGGTTTTCACAGCGGTGAGTATGAAGATTTCTGTCTTCTGGGTTGTTGCGCTGTGTAGT